GAAGGAAGGAAGGAAGGAAGGAAGGAAGGAAGGAAGGAAGGAAGGAAGGAAGGAAGGAAGGAAGGAAGGAAGGAAGGAAGGAAGGAAGGAAGGAAGGAAGGGTGTGACAGCAGCGAAACAAGCTAAAACAATTCTTGGTTGTATAAACAGAGGCACAGAATCAAAATCATGTGAAGTATTAGTACCGCTTTATAAATCCTTAGTAAGATTACACCTGGAATACTGCCTCCAGTTTTGATCACCACATTACAAAAAAGATGTTGAGACTTTGGGAAAAGTGCCAAGAAGAGCAACTAAGATGATTAAGGGCCTGAAGACACGAAGAATGGTTGCAGGAATTGGGTATGGCTAATCTAGAGGAAAGGACTAAGGGTGACGTCATGAAGAGGAGGATTTTCTAAAATACCAGACGGCAAGAGTAGAAACAATGGATGGAAGCTAATCAAGGATAGAAGCAACCTGGAATTAAGGAGAAACTTCCTAACAGTGAGGACAACTAACCAGGGGAACAGCTCGCCTTTAGAAGTTGTGGGTGCTTCATCACTGGGGGTTTTTAAGAAAAGACTGGACAGCCACCTGTCTGAAATGGTATAGGGTCTCCTAGTTGAGCAGGGGGGTGGACTAAAAGACCTCTAAGGTCCCTTCCAGCTTTATTCTGACTGATTGGTTTCCGAGGCTCCTTGCCAGCTTCTGCCAAGAAAACTCAATGAACATATCAACAGGAAGTCAAAAGTCATGCCTACTCTCACTGCCTTTTTGCCTATCCATGGTCATTTTGTTTTTGAATATGAAGAAAAATGAAATGCAATAAAATAAAGAATAAAAAATGAATTTCAGAAAAACTGAACACAAATAAATTGAATAGTCACTCTGAGCAGAGATGTTGGCCTAAGACTAAGAAGACTTTGGAACAGTCTCTCACTCTTTGACCAAATCTACCTCACAGGGTAGCCTTTAGGGAGAAAACAGAAGGAGGGGTGCTATGTATACCACCTTTGGTATTTTAAGGCAGGGGTCTCCAACCATGGCCAACTTTAAGCATGGCGGACTTCAGCTCCCAGAATTCCCCAGCCAGCAAAGCTGGGAGTTAAAGTTCACCAGGCTTAAAGTTTCCATGGTTGGAGACCTCTGCTATAAGGAAAGTGGTGTAGAATTCAAACAAACTAATCAACCCAACAAGCTAGCTATGAGACAGTGAGGCGTTCACATATGCACGGTACAAAAATAACAAGCACCAAATGTAATCAATATCATAATGATTGCTTTCTTCTCTTCATATAATTTAGATGTCAATCATATACACACATACATATGAAAAATACCAGAAGTAATAGGGTCTATATATATGCTGTCACCTCAGAAAAGAAATGTACATATTCTTCAGCAATATGGCCATTACCATCTATGCAGTCAGCTGCTGGAAAGTGAAACAAATATTCAGACTTTGAACCAATGTGCTAGCAGAAAGGAAACTACCCCCACTTCCAAATAAATACGTGGCTAGAAGTTGGAACAAATGCAAAAAAAAAATTAATAGAGCTAAATGCAGACCCCGGTCAGGTGTGACTCTACATTAGTGGGATGGTGTTTACTCCTTTTGTTCCTATGCCTGAATGGATTATTTCATTTTAAAAAGAAATAACCTGTTCTGGATTACCTATGGTCAGACCTAGGTTGGGTCTCAGTTTATGATAAACATTTGCAAGATAAATGTAAGTATTTTAGTATTATCTAAGAAATGTCACACATTTCCGCACTAGGCCTCTTCCCAAAGGAATATTTTTGCACCACAATTTTTCTGCTATAACCACACTTCGTGCAGGAAATGGATTTAGGCATACAGAACAAGGAAGAACAACTTCACATCAGGATATAATTGTACAATTGGTGTGAATTGTGGTATTGAAATACTGCCATGATACATGGCAGTATTGCCATGATATCATATGCCATGATATCTCATCCCATCCCCACCGACACATACAGAATAGATGTTTGCTTGGGCAGAAAATGCAGAGTTTTATTAACAGTTTTAATAACAATTATAGTACTATGCCTATGGAAAAATGAATCCTTTCACAAATTACTCCATCCCTACCCCACTGATGGCCACAGAAAGGATGTTTGTTTGCTTGGCATAAAATGCATTTTTATTAACTTAGTTTTAGAAACAATAGTAATAGGACTATGGAAAAATAAATCCTTTCACAAAAACACTTAAAACACACTGTCTGAGGGAATCATTCTGAATAAGCAGGGAAAAAAAGAAGGAAACTGAATTTTGGGAGCACTATTTTCTGATTAAACACCTTGACATCTACATCCATTGTCAGAGTGGTCTTTGTCACCGAAAAGCGTCATTCAGAAAGAGGCTAAAAAGATTTAAAAAGAAACCCCTAGAATCTTTGTCAGCAGTTGAATAACTCTAGTAGCTGGCGTAACAATCAGTCACTGTGATCGTTTTCTCTTACGTGACACCATACCGATGACAGCCTGTGACACTGACAACAGCAATTGTTTCTGTTTCTCACCCCCCTTGGAATATTTTTATATTTATTCTTCCAAAATAAAAACCAAAAAAAAAAAGGAGTCTAAGCCAGACTCTCTTCCTTATAGACATCTGTGAATGTATATTAGGCACGCTTTTCTTTGCTGAATCATTCCTTCAGTACCTGAATAGTCCATTTAAATCAGGGGACTCCAACCTTGGCCACTTTAAACCTGGAGGACTTCAAGTCCCAGAATTCCCCAGCACCTTTGCTGGCTGGGGAATTCTGGGAGTTGAAGTCTTCCAGGCTTAAAGTGGCCAAGGTTGGAGACCCCTGATTTAAAACACAAAAAATGTATACATGTATTTTCTAACAAAATGGTTTGGTTCAAGCAGTAGTTAGTTAGAAACCACATTTCTTAATCACTGACTGATACCTCATGGAAACCTTTATTTCTAGCCTGGGTTAATGTTTCAGGACATTCGGTGGCAAAGAAAGGTTACAGAAGACTCTGACCTGGAATGCTATAACCTCTGGCCCGCCTTTCAGCCCTTCCATTGTAAAGGTCTCCAGGTGCAGCTTAGGCAGCTGCAGGGCGAAGTCGTTCCTACTTGCTGTAGTCCACGACAGCGAGATCTGATCTCTGACCTAAAAGGGGGAGGGAAAAAAAACACAGTATCAATGGTAATTCCCCTTCAGACACATTAACTGGGATGAAGTGGGTCCCCTTGAGTCCACTGAGTGGACTTGCATTGATCGCTGGACCTGAAATCCATGAATAAATTTAGGACTAATTGATTTTTCGTTGCAAATAAATCTCTAATTCAGAGTGCTGGGAGAGAATGTTAAGAAGAGAAAGCTTCCTCTTCTCTAGACTGCAAGGAGATAGGAAAGAAAGTCACTTATAGCTCCATGTTCAGGTGGGGCAGCATGCAACTCTACATGGAATGCATGGGGTCTAGATTTAAGACGTTCAGAGGCACAGTAAGATGGACACTGTCACCACATTAATTCCAGCAAACATGCCCCCAGTGAACCTGTTTTTTTTGTTAAGCTCTCACATTCACATAAATATCTTACTCTCCTCAAAGAAAATACTTTTCAGTTAATTAAGCTGTGATGTAACAAAATTAGATTAGATAATGGAAATATTTTTAAGACTTCAGCTGCGGAACAGCTCATAAGAAGTGGTCGTAAGTGCCTAAAGTTCAAATATCAAGTATTTTAACAGTAGTAAGGACTACCTGGACAAATAAAGGGGAACAAAAAGAAAAGGCACCATAATTTTTCCAAAGCCAAGTAATTGGGATTTAAAATATTTTGATGTTTTAGGAAACAACAAAACGCAGAGCACCGTAAATGAGAGAGATCCATGGACTTGTGTGGACAACTACAATCTTATGCAATTGGTATTGTACTGCCACCTTCTGTTAAGGTGAGCAATACCTTCACTCGTCTATAAAAATACAATGGGCAATATTTATAGTTTTTGATCATTAGTTTCTATCTATACAAGATCAGATTCTATGCATAGATATTAGAGAATGAGCCTATTAAGTAGGGGGTCTTCAGCTGAATATCACAGTAGATCTTCCAGCAATACCAGAAAAACATCCATACACGTCTTTAAGCCTGCTCATTTCCAGCAGTCACAAACATTTTCTATTGGTAAGTAACAAGTGTCAGTATTACATATGAATACTAAATTATAAATTAGATCAAACAGATTATCTCAACATTTTTTTAAAAAAACAGCATCACTGCCCTATTAGTGTGCTTTGAACTAATCACTGAGATTAATTAGATTTGGATGGATTTTAACAAAACTACACAATATTTTTAAAAATGGACCTAGAAATATGGAAAGTTCTCATCTCCATCTTCCTTGAAGAGAAAGGGACAGAAGATACAAAGGGGTCATAACTTATGATGACTTTGGAACACAAATAACAAGGCTTCCTTCCAAATAGACAGTGGTGTGTTATATACAAATGTTATTTTTAAAATAAATAGGGAGAAAGTCAGTTGCTGCGTATGTGATTTTGTCTTCTTAGTTTGCAAACTCTTGCAGCGATTAAACTGAACTGTACAATCCTGTATTTCAGAGACAATATGCAGCAAAATTGTTTTAGAATGGAAACAGACATATCAATCCACATCCTCTTGCCCTGCTAGTAATTGATGCAATAGTTTACTACGTAAACATTAACACAATCATAAAAATGACTTCTGCATTCCACGCTATTAAGAAGAGCATTTTGTGTTAATTAAGTGCCTATGTTTTTTCCTTGTAAGTCATGAAAATGTTTAAGAAGCACTGCTTTTATTATTATTTTTTACTAATGTGTGTGTGTGTGTGTGTGTGTGTGTGTGTGAGAGAGAGAGAGAGAGAGAGAGAGAGAGAGAGAGAGAGAGAGAGAGAGAGAGAGAGAGAGAGAGAGAGAGATGCCTGAAGATGTGTTAAATCAAATATGGTATATCCTGCACCCTGGTCTATGGGAATAGGGAATCTTACATTTCCCTGGTTGATATAAAGAATTCCTGTCAATATTGGTAGCTGTCAAATGTATGCAGTATAATGCAATTTTTATAACGGTGTGGGGCCCTCCACACATTTCTATCTGAACTATTCTAGGTTTAGGGTAGAGAGTCTACAAGAACAAAAACCATCTCTTGGGCCTTCTGTGGTATATATATTTTGTCCAGATAGTCATCTTGTTTAATGTACTACAAATGTCATTTTACTATATCTATAATAATGCATTATCTCACTTGAATTGTTATAGACTATATATATTAGCTTTTCGTTTTCTCATTGTAGCCAATGTGCACCCAGATAAAAGAAAACATTAATGTGGATTAAGGTTCTAAGAATTTATCCACATCAAACCGCCAGTGTTTTGCCTTCTACCCTTCTGAACCATAGTCAATAGATCTAAATATTTTACTGCACCCTGGCCAATTCATTGTTTGATGTTTAAAAACGTACCCTGAATCAAAGAAAATTTATTAAATTTGAGCCCCCAAATGAGATACTATTAGCTTTGAAAGTCAAGTTTAACTGCGATATTGATGATTCTCTTTTTTCTGTGACAAAATTCACCAGGGAAACCCCTGATGTCAAAGTACCAAAGCAGATTGCTAATACTGAAGGGGGAGGGGAGGAACAGCGCAAAGGAGAAGAGGGGGTGAGGCGAGAGAGGAAGAGATAAACAATGTAGACGCTGCAGAGATACAACAGTGGCAGGGCCAAGTCCTTTCACCTCTACTTATTTCTGCTTTGGTCCTTTGCTGTTAGGTTATAACGATAAATTGGACAGTAAAAGAAGGAACATATTCTTAAAATGGACTAGGTCATCAGCTAAAAGGAATGTAAATGTTCCTCGGATGCAAAACTCCAGATTACATAAGTCCAAATATTTATCCTAAGACTTTAATTATTAAGAATGGGCTGCATTGTGTCTTTCTTTCTTTCTTTCTTTCTTTCTTTCTTTCTTTCTTTCTTTCTTTCTTTCTTTCTTTCTTCTTTCTTTCTTTTCTTTCTTTCCTTTCTTTCTTTTCTTTCTTTCTTTCTTTCTTCCTTTCTTTTTCTTTCCTTTCCTTTCTCTCCTTCCTTTGCTTAATTACTTAGCTAAGAGGGAGTTGTCCTGATTATTTTTAATGTCGTTTATTAAACTCAAACCTTACATGGCAAGGGAAAGAGAAATGCTTCAGTTATACATAATGCTCTTTTTCCCTTTTTTCACTAACTCACTCCAAGCGTCCAATTTCAAACTGCAGTTGGGGACTATGTTTTTTGAATATTGTTATTGTAGCATAAACATTAATTCACAGGGACAACTAGCACTGTCATTGTTGTACAGGAGAAGAAATTTTTCCCCCCTGCTTTCCTTCCTGACATAATAGGTGCCCGTGTGAAATCTGTTTGCTTTTTAATAGGAAGATACATTTCCATTGTGTGAACATTCTTTCCTGCATGTTATAGTACAGCTCAGGGAAAAGGAGATATTTGAGGTTTTACAATTCCACTAATGCCCACTAATTCAGGGTACTTACAAAAGAATATCCCCTTCACACATTTTCCCACAGTGTTGATTTGTAGCATAAAAGACAGCACCTAAGTGAATGGTTAAAGTCTGGCCTGCTGCATACAAAGTGTAGACTTTCAAGGACTTCATAGCTACGGGAAGATAGGACATTATACGAGTGTCCTTTCCGTCTGAGGTTGAAAATAATCCCTCAAAACTAAAAGCAATTGTTTAACAAAACTGTACAAAAAAAAAAAAAAAAGGAATGAAGCGGCTCTACACATATCCTCCTAAAGCACTGGGGGCTTTTTTTCTACACAAAGAAAAATATTTTCTTCTAAAGAAGACAGGAGGCTTCCCAACTTTGATAGGAATATGCTGTGAAGGAAATTGCAGAACTTAGTCCAATCTTTCTTTAGGATTTCCAGAATATGGGTGTGATCAATACAAAGCCAAACTGCCATCTTTTTCTGAACATATTTTAAAAGTATTTCTAAAATTTGCAATTATATTCTAAAACCATGATGGCGAACCTATGGCACACATGCTGGAAGTGGCATGCAGAGCCCTCTCTCCAGGCACGCCAGCCGGCCAGCTGGTCTTCATGCGCACCAAAAACCGGAAGACCAGGTGGCCAGCATGCATTCCGCATGCGCGCCGGGGAGCTGCTCTTCTGGTTTCTGCCGTTCCCGTGTGTGTGTGTGTGCCGGGAAGTTGCTCTTCCTTAGTTTCTGGTGCTCCCATGTGTGCGCGCTGGGGGGGTTGATCTTCCAGTTTCCGGTGCTCCCACGCACGTGCGCATGCACTCCTGTTTCGGCACTGGATGCCGAAAAGATTCGCCAACACTGTTCGAAAACATAGAAGACCAAAGCTTGTTATGTCCGAAGAGTCAATTTTCTAATGTGATTTGAGATTCTTTAATTTTTTCATGCATCCAAGCATATGTAACTGTATTTAAAAAATAGAATTATTGGTTTATACGTTATACAAAGCATATTATCCTGAGACAGTATATAGACACCCATGGTTTGGGTAGTGGTGAAGGCAAATAGATAAAAAGTGAAAGCATCTAAACATACCAGGTGGTTGTTTACAAACCAGTTGTTAGGTGTGACACTTTTTTTCATTAATGAATCAGGTCACACATGTGGTAAAGAAAGGTATATATAGGAGCGTAAATATATTCAAAGGTAACACTGGGTAAGAAGTCCCCAAAGTATAAAGACTACATATGTTTATTTGCTTCTAATTTCTACATTTTGGAAACAGAGGCAGCTTTCTGGGGGAACTGAGATGAGACTCTTGGTGAGAAAATGAGGGGAATAAAGGTGTCAAAAGTTAGCTTGTAATTAAAATTTTCTATTTGATGGTGCATCGGGGAACATTTTCCGGATGATTTATGCAAACAGATACAATAAAGGCAGATTTGTCTGCAGTAGCTATGATAGGCATGGGAATTTTGCATATGTAGCCATTGCTAAAATCCTTTCTCTTCTCTGTAATTTAAAAAAATATCCCAATTTGAACAAATACTATAAAAATATAAAATATTTTTTATATGAAGCAAACAATAAGGAACTACCATTCCACACTGCTATTACTGTGTCCAGCTGGTCTGGG